ATTTGTTTGTTTGTTTGTTTGTTTGTTTGTTTGTTTGTTTGTTCATTCGTTTGTTTGTTTGTTTATTTATTTATTTATTTTATACCCTGCTCATCTGGTCTTACGACCACTCTAGGTGGCTTCCAAATGCATAGATAAAAACATACAATTATGACACAAAAATATTACACCACGGAAGAGGACCAATTCTTTACTATGTGAATTGATAACCAGGAATCTTAGCAAGAGCTCTCACACAGAGAGTCTAGCTTTCTCAGCTGGAAAATCAGAAGGGTTTTTCTGTGTTCATGCATGTAATGGGATGAAGAACTCATGCCTAATCGTATCCTAGGAAGCATACAACGTCTAGCCAGAAACACAGGTTTGCAGGCTGTCAAACCATCATGTATCAGTGACTATTACATAACTATATACATAATTGTTGCCATATGCTCAGTCCATCATCTTATCCCCTACCCTAGTTGGTTATCTAAAACTGTCGTTTAGGAATCCTACAGTGATAGCATTGGTAATTGCTAAAGGCCACCGATTGTTTATACCATTTGTATTTTGTTGTTTCTTCCCATCAGATCAGGAAGGCAATATACTGAGAAATTACACATCCCGTATTTTCCGTGTATAAAATGACACTTTTTTCCTAAAATCATTAGAGGAAAAATTGAGGGTTGTTTTGTACACAGAAGGAGGTGGAGGCAAAGGAGCAGCTGTGCCCGGCCACCTCTCGCAGCTGCCCATTGACTGCTCCTCCACCTCCAGTGAGGGACAAAATTAGGGAGTCGTCGTATACATTGGGGGGGTTCATATACATGGAAAAATACGGTATTAATTAGCTAATTACAATATTTATCTTTTACTTTGTACTCAAGGATTTTTGTGCAGGACAAAGTCAGGAAAAATAACTTCAAAATAATTATAAAGCAATTGAACATAATGCAACATAATTGAAACAAAAGGACAAGCATCAAAACTTATCTCCCTTTCCCTCCCCTCTCCTCTCTCTGACCTCCAATCTTATTCAAGGTCAGATCAAATTGACGTAATTTGCTGAAGTCTGTTACTTTGAGAAGTAAGGCCAATATTATTGATTTTGTCATATCACAGTAATCCCTTCTATTAAAGGGAGTTTAAAACATGGTTCTCATTTGCACTTTGATGTACATCTTCTGCTCTTTAAAAACTTATTAACTGACATAAACATGATGCTTCAAATGATCAACGAACATCTTTCTATCCCTGTTTCACAAGACTGCATTCCTTATATGTGGTCATTAACTCACTGCACTATTCTAAAGAGCAAGGTGCAATTATTCAGCATGCAGAGGATAAAGACAGTGACCAATTAATGGAAATTTGAACAAGAAACAATTCTAAGAGGTGCTGAAATGTTATAACGTTACAGACTGAAGAAGCTACTTTGGTGAGTAGTGAAACATTTCAATCTAACAAGAAAGTTCAGTTGCTGTGACTCAGCTTCCAGATAACCACACCTGGATGATTGAGAATCTTCACACAAAGCCAGAATAATGTTATCTGATTCTTACCCATGGAGGCAAAGGAGCAGCTGTGCCCGGCCACCTCTCGCAGCTGCCCATTGACTGCTCCTCCACCTCCAGCGAGGGACAAAATTAGGGAGTCGTCGTATACATTGGGGGGGTTCATATACATGGAAAAATACGGTATTAATTAGCTAATTACAATATTTATCTTTTACTTTGTACTCAAGGATTTTTGTGCAGGACAAAGTCAGGAAAAATAACTTCAAAATAATTATAAAGCAATTGAACATAATGCAACATAATTGAAACAAAAGGACAAGCATCAAAACTTATCTCCCTTTCCCTCGCCTCTCCTCTCTCTGACCTCCAATTTTATTCAAGGTCAGATCAAATTGACGTAATTTGCTGAAGTCTGTTACTTTGAGAAGTAAGGCCAATATTATTGATTTTGTCATATCACAGTAATCCCTTCTATTAAAGGGAGTTTAAAACATGGTTCTCATTTGCACTTTGATGTACATCTTCTGCTCTTTAAAAACTTATTAACTGACATAAACATGATGCTTCAAATGATCAACGAACATCTTTCTATCCCTGTTTCACAAGACTGCATTCCTTGTATGTGGTCATTAACTCACTGTCTGCACTATTCTAAAGAGCGAGGTGTAATTATTCAGCATGCAGAGGATAAAGACAGTGACCAATTAATGGAAATTTGAACAAGAAACAATTCTAAGAGATGCTGAAATGTTACAACCTTACAGACTGAAGAAGCTACTTTGATGAGTAGTGAAACATTTCAATCTAACAAGAAAGAAGTTCAGTTGCCGTGATCCAGCTTCCAGATAACCACACCTGAATGACTGAGAATCTTCACACAAAGCCAGAACAATATTATCTGCTTCTTGCCCATTTATTTTTAGTATTAATTTTAACAATGTATTTTATATGACTTGATTTTTGTTACAAACGTCCAATGCTTATATTTACTTTTTTGGTCCTACTTGTCCCACGTTGACCCTCACACAGATGACTTTCCTTGTCTGCATCCCAACCGCACAAGTAGCCTCCCCATTCCAACCAGCAGAAGAGTTGAAGGCTGACACAGAGACATCCTCTATGCACTGGCCCCAGGCTCCTGTCTGCCAGTAGTACACTGTACAAGGATGTTCATTGCAGTTGCGGGTTTCCTGCAGCATACTACTGTTTGGGCACTGAAGTCCACCTGGAAAAAAAAGGAGTGTTTGAGTGCAGTGACAATGAAAGACCCACTTTAACAACCGTTTGAATAAATCAAGCTACATGAAGAAGCAGGTTTAGTATACACATCTTGTTTGCATCTAGAACATGAAATTTCTATCAGGAAACAAATACCTTAAGCATTAAAACTGTCTGTGTCACACTACTACAAAAGACAGGTGCTTTAACAACCGTTTGAATAAATCAAGCTACATGAAGAAGCAGGTTTAGTATACACATCTTGTTTGCATCTAGAACATGAAATTTCTATCAGGAAACAAATACCTTAAGCATTAAAACTGTCTGCGTCAAGACAGGTGGAATTCACATAAATGAATGCTCCTCGATATACCATACCCGTTAAACATTTCTGCACACACAGAAATCTAAGGGGAAGAGTTCTAGATTCTAGCCTATCCTTCTCCCTAGTTATCCAGATGTCTAAGTACAAGGGTTTAAAATCATGTGAGCAATCATCCATGGTCTGCATCAAGATTTCCAACACCAAGCCTAATTCAAACCTACAATGCCAGTTTGGATGTAATATATGTCAACTTGTTAACACCAAGCCTAATTCAAACCTACAATGCCGGTTTGGATGTAATACTGTATATGTCAACTTGTTAAATGGAAAGATCCACAACCCTTGTACCTCTCCTCCACACTCTGTCTTTTGAGATGTTTCAGAGATGTCTGTTAACATGACAAGCCATCAATTTATTTCCGATGTATAGTGACCCCAATAGGGTTTCCACAGTATGCAAGATGTTTCAGGAGTTATTTTCTACTGGCAAACTCCAGTGGGCTGCCATTGCTGAGCGGGGATTTGAAATGAGGTCTCCTCATCTGACCATTCTCTACATTACATTGGCTCTCAGTAACAAGTTAATACACCAACAGGTCCTCCTATGTTTGAACTGGACACTCCTGATTGGAACAAACTGAAATCTGAAATGCAGCTCATACTGTGCTACCGGATTTTGTTTTGTTCAGATTCTGGTAGCCTCGTGGCACAGTGGTTGAAGCCAAAACTGTGCTCGCGGCCTGGGGTTCAATCCCAGGTAGCTAGCTCAAGGTTGACAGCCTTCTATCCTTCCAAGGTCGGTAAAATGAGTACCCAGCTCGCTGGGGGGGGGGCAATGGGTAGCCTGCCTAATTAACTTGTTAACTGCCCAGAGAGTGCTTGAAGCACTATGGGGCGGTATATAAGCAGCACACTTTGCTTTGCTTTGCTTTGCTAAAAGTAATCCATTGTAAGTCCTCTATTGTTACTATAAGGTAGGGCATGTTGCTATTTTCTCTTGAGTTTCAGCTGCACAATGTTATCCATTCAATTTAATTAACAGTTTTTGCCTTCTCTTCTGTGTGTCTACAATTCTTAATCCATTTCTAACTCCTTTCTATGTGTTAAAGACCCAGATGTTCTCCTAACTATTGGCTCTAAGCCATGCATTAAGCCACACACAGATACACCTAGTACATATTAGAATGCTTCCAAGAGACATCAATAGGGATGCTTGGTTTTTCATCAAGGTCTGCTTCCATATCCCAACACCAAGAACTCTCAGGTGAACATGGCTAGAATTGCATCCCCTGTCAATAGTAGCAATTACAATGAGTTCCTTACAATCAACATACCTAAAGCATAGCCACCTCAGCATAAGCAGCCACGATCCTACATATGGTGTTACAACAACTTCTACCAACCCTAGCCAGCTTAGATCAAGGGAGTTTCAGTCAAAAAGCGCAGAGTATAAGGCCACAGTTGACAACCCCTGTGCTATATAATGACATATTAACCATTTATTTTTGTATTCAATTAATTATAATTAACCAGCATTAACACCCTTTGGCAGATGAAGGAGAACGCCCACAGAACAGCACAGAATATTAATTCAAACTATGCTGCTAATCTGCAATCAAAGCATTAATTGATTCATTAGAGTGGTTAATCAGCTAAATGCTTTGAGGCCTAAAATCAGTTTGATGATAAGGCTTCAGAAAAAGCTTCCTTTACAACAAGAATGTACAATACAGGCAGGCATGGACAAGGCAAAAAGAAACAAGCATGAATTAGACATATTGATCAACAGTAAGCAAAACTAAAATGATAGCTGTACTGCAAACAAGGTATACAGATATATAGCATGAAAGCGTACTTTGTACCAGTGCCTCTTGCCTTTGTAGCCAGCAGTAAAATTCAGTGCCAGTAATAAAAGTAAACAGGAATTAGAAACTAAAGGCCAAACCTACACCAGGGGAGCTTTGATAGATGGTACAATATATCAGTGGTCCCCAGCCTTTGGTCTCCAGATGTGGTGCCTGTGGTTCCTTTAGAGAGGCAGTCCATCTTGTATTTAGTCTTCTCTTTTCCTGCTACCTTCAATACCCTTTCCCAGCACTATTGCCTTTTCCTACCTTCTCATGATGTGCCCCAAATTAGAACAGCCTTGGTTTCAACATGTTTGCCTCCAGAGATAGTTCAGGCTTGCTTTGACTTAGGACCCTCTTGTTTGTCTTTCTGGCACTTCAGAGTATCCCCAAAGCTCTTCTCCAGCACATTTATCTGCTTTCTTTACTGTCCACCTTTCACACCCATACATGGTGACAGGAAATACAAGAGTGTGGAGGATCTTGGTCTTGGTCTCTAGTGACCCATTCTTGAACTTGATGATTTTTTCCAGTTCCTTCATAACGTATTCCCCCCCCACACACACACCATTTATTCTTTAATATAAAGGGGATGACACAAAAGCAAGTTATTGTACAAGCAAAAGGCTCTGCCTTGATCACCAATCTACAGATAAGTCTTTGGCTTTGGGAAAGGCTGGCCATTTTCTCGATTACTGGACTTACATATATCCTATTACTCTACACAGGCAGGCTGCTTAAGCTTCTAAAACTAAAAAGCCTCAGCTGCAGACAGAGAATGGCACTGTCAGTACCCAAACTGACCTCTACTTTCTGGCCCAGTTCTCTTAAAATAAAACAAAAGCTACTATCGTTTGGCCACTCCCTTCCTCTCACATCTCAAACGGCCCTTCAACAGCTGCTTTGATTGAATTGTGGCTTCTTCAGTCTCCCAATGGATATTGCTGAAATTCAACTCTATTTTAGATACTTTAAGGCAGTGGTCCTCAATGTTGGGCCTCCAGATGTTGTTGAACTACAACTCCCAGAAGCCTTCGTCACCACCTCTGCTGGCCAGGATTTCTGGGAGTTGAAGTCCAAGAACATCTGGAGGCCCAAGGTTGGGGACCACTGCTTTAAGGTCTCTGAATTTGTTTTGTTTTGTTTTTTAAAGACTACTGGCAATTCTGACTGGGGAATTTTCCAGAAAGGCAACTTTTCTGAACTTCACTGGATACATCCAATGCTTTATTTATTTATTTATTTATTTATTGGACTTATATACCGCCCCATAGCGCTACAAGCACTCTCCGGGCAGTTTACAATTTTTTAATTATACAGGCTACACATTGCCCCCCCAGCAAGCTGGGTACTCATTTTACCGACCTTTGTTGATAACACCAAGATTTTAAGGCCTAACTTTTTAAAATTGTTATTGCTTGTCTCTCAAGCTCTGAATAACATGAACAATTAAGCATCAAGCATGGAATCATCTCTGAGACTAATTTAAGCCTTGAATGATAAAGGCACAGAATGCAGGCCTGGAAAAGTCTCCACCTTTCTCCAGCTTTTTGTTTTTTTCATTGCATCTATAAGTTGCCATATGCCAAAGACTCGGAGGTGGAAAAGATAACAGACGCTCTGAATTTTACAAGTGGATCTTTGCCTCCCAGTGGGCCCTTCCTAGAACAGGCCAGATAAATAGCCCAAGGGGAGGACAAAAAGAGCAGAACAGACAAAATCACCACCCACAATGAACAAAGATCTTAATAAGCTACATATATATAAAGAGAAAAATATTTTCTCTTAATAAGAATGGCTGGTGTGTGTGGAAGGGGCAGAATAGCTGAAGGGATAATTCCTAGTTGTTATAGCAGAGATAAAGATGCCCAGGAGAGCTACTTTGTTAGTAAATAGTCTACTGCATTAAAACTGGGAATGGCTGCTGTCTACGAAAGCTTATGCCAACAAAAACTTGTTAGAATTATTATTGGTTTGTTGCCACTAAACTCAAGCTGGCACTCTTGCTCTGTTCTCCACTACCTGTCACAAACCACCACCACCCCATTTAAATCCAGCATCTCCTGAACCACTTCAAGACTCACCTTCTTTGCTCCTCCAAGGAGAGGTGCCGTAAAGAAACTTAAAACTCTGGACTTAAAACAGTCCCTTTGAGGATAGGCATGTGTATTATGTCACTTACTTCAACATGTGACAAGCCAGCCCTGTCTGAAAATGCTCCTGCTCATTCTGCAAAGTGGGACCCTAGATGTTTGCCCTCAAAGTCCTGTCCTTCACAGTCTCCCAGTTGCTACCCAACTCTCCCTGACCATATATATCCCTTCTGTCTACAAAATCTTCCTGACATTAGGTAGTCTTGCACATCAGGACAGACTGAAAATCCATTCTATCATCTCTATTCCCCAGGCTGCCTCAGCATATGAAGGTACTATATCTAAATATAAGCTAGTATACTTGGATGGGGAAAGTTTGACTCTCCAGATATGTGGGACTACAACAGTCACATTCCCCAGTCCACATGGAGTTCTAGTACAACACATCTGCAATTCAACACTTAGATGAACCCATTATCTGACTCTAATCAAGGTGGCTTGCCAAATTCCAGTCTTCTGGAAGTAGAAAAATATGAATAGTGGAATATATAAGGCATTTAAGAAAGTGTTCTTTTAATCTCTGTTCTTGTTCCTCCAAATTCACCTAGTTACCCTTCCTGCTACTAGGCAAACACAATGATTGAAAGGATTCAAGCACACGCCAAGACTATTAAAACAAATGTCAGCAAATGATGAAGTTGTCTTGTTCAAATGTGTGGGGTAGTGAGAAAAAAAAATACTCTGTGCACATTAAGAGTTTAAGATTTAAGGTTAAAATGACAGCTGCAAAATGAAAAAGAACAACAGCACGTCAAAGATGAGGATCAAGGCTACAGTAATTTCTTTAGAATTTTAATTAATTTCTTAACCATCCCCTCAAGGCAAACATTTGCATTCCAAATGTGTCAGGAAATTTGGAAACAGTCCTACCCATAAGTATGCTTTGCACAATCAGTTTTGCAATCTCTTAATTTCAATTATAACTTCCTCTGGGACTTACACTGAAAAGCAGGAGACAACTGTAATGAACAAATAAAAAGAATGCAATGATTTAGGACAAAGACATCCTCCTTTCCCAACAGTTTTTAAAATAGCCAAGAAAATGGTTTGGACATAGGCCAGAATCCAACTGCTGGTCCCAACTAGAAACAATCCACTGAATCCATGGAATTTACACTAGTGTTGACTTGTCACCCAGCAACCTAGTCAGTGGGTTTACTCTAGCTGAAAATAACAATTGAACTTAGTTCACTGATTTTTATTTAACCCATTACAGTGCTGAATAAAAGTTTTTCTATTAATTTCATTTTTATTATTAATGCCAAAATGACAGGCCATGAAAAAGTGCTTGAAATACCTTCCAATAAATATTTTTCACCTCAGTGCAATTTTGTAAGTCTCTCTTTCCTTCATCATGGTTTTTAAAGCTTCTGTAAATGTTTCTTCCCCTTAAAAAGACTTTCAGCCCTAATGTAGGTCTCCAATTTCTCCCTCTCTCCTTTTTTTCCTTGTTAATCAACTTGTGACATAAACAGGTATTATGAAAATCAGAAACAGGAATGAATTCCATTTATGCAGCCCATAAAAACATCTCTCTCTCTCTCTTTGTGCATGTGTGTAAGTACATGTATATGTATATATCTTGGTTTGATGGTAAAAACATAGCTAGTATTGCTGAAGATTAAAAGACCACCCCTGTTTCTCAGGCAGCACATGACAAAATTCCATAGTGGATTTCCTAGCATGTCAATGGTAACAGGTTTGATTGAAGTAAAGCCTAAAAGTTATAATCTAAGCTGATATGGTTTGGAATTAATTCTGAGAAGTGACATGTCAGTGACTTTGGAAATGATATTATGGCTCTGGGAGATCTTTTATTCATAGCTGCCTCACTGTCTGGGGGGCTAAAGTTTAGAAGAACTATTTTAGAACGTATGTAAATGATTTTGATACATCGTCGTCATTGTTTAGTCGTTTAGTCGTGTCTGACTCTTGGGGACCCCATGGACCAGAGCACGCCAGGCCCTCCTATCTTCCACTGCTTCCCGTAGTTGTGTCAAATTCATCTTGGTTGCTTCGCAGACACTGTCCAGCCATCTCATCCTCTGTCGTCCCCTTCTCCTCTTGCCATCACACTTTCCTAACATCAAGGTCTTTTCCAAGGAGTCTTCTCTTCTCATGAGATGGCCAAAGTACTGGAACCTCAGCTTCAGGATCTGTCCTTCCAGTGAGCACTCAGGGTTAATTTCCTTTAGAATTGATAGGGTTGTTCTCCTTGCAGTCCAGGGGACTCTCAAGAGCTTCCTCCAGATCCACAATTCAAAGGCATCAATTCTTCGGCGGTCTGCTTTCTTTATGGTCCAGCTCTCGATTTTGATACAATGGCTTCTAATTTGAATGGATACCATTAGAGATGGGCACGAAGCAGAAATCCAGTTCCCAAAACACCACAAAGCCCTGGAAAAACGAACCCGTTTGTGATCCGTTTTTTTTCTGGTTTGTGCCTGGAGGATCCCTACCTGTTCCTGCCACCAGCAGGCTCCTGGCCGGGAAGCTGGGTGCTGCCTCTGAGCATAAGGCTGCACTCAGCTGATAGGCAGACACATGATAGGCTCCGGGTACATAAGCTGGGCCCATTGCCTCTGAGCATGGCACACACAGCAGTGGCAGAAGCAGGTAAACAAAGGTGACAGGGGGAAGGGGGTAGGCAGGTATCCCCTTTTGTCGAAGCAAACAAAACACCAAACATCAGTGTTTCGTTTTGCTTCAGCTAAACAGGAACCACGAAGCAGACCAATTTGTCAGGTCATTTGGTTGATGGTTCATTTCATGCCCATCTCTGTACTATACTTTATGTGGCACACCTAGAATCTCCTGTCCATATCTCCTGTCCACACATGAACCAGCTTAGCTTCTAGCGACAGTAGGAAAGATGTTAGGCCTATACACATGTATGTAAAGTATATAAAACACTACAGTCTCCCCACGGCTGAGTTTGAAAACATGTCCCATCTCCACTCCAACTACTTTGAAACCTTTCTCTGCTCTCACTCAGCTCTCTAAGCATGGATGAGGAGGAGCCTAGCTGCTCGGTCTCTGAGCTGCTCCTATAGAAATACATATTCACAATCTTCATTTTTAATGCGCTTCCAGCGTTTCCCTCCATCACAATTTTCCCCCCTTAATTTTTATTTTAGACCATGTTTTATGTCAGTTCTGAGGCAACTGCTGGGTAGTTCTCTAGATCTTGTTGGGCTGCCTTTTCCACCAGCCGTAGCCAGCAGAGCCATCGGTAAAGGATGTTGAGGGTTCAGTCCAAAAACAGCTATGGAGACATACATTGCTGATCCTTGTTTTAGATGTCACTATTCATTTATGTGTATTTGAGCGATAAACGTGACCCATGGAAATTTGTATCTGCCCTGGAATTCTTGCTATCCAAACAGCCCATGATAGGAATATTAAAAAAAAACAAACTCAGGATGCAATTTACTAATAATTCTTCAGTGAAGTCTCTGTTATCTAGAGTTACTTCAGAGGATTCAGCTTGGCAAGAGCCACAAACCATTTTGATGAGGGGATTGACTAGAAAGTCACTCAGAAGTACGTATTTCATGACCAAAGATAGAGACTAAATAAATGTTGTACTATTTGTCTTTAAATTAAATCTATTGGTTGCTGTTATGTGTCACCAAGTTGCCTCTACTTCATGGCGGCCCTGTGAATAAGTGACTTTGAAAATGTCCTGTCCGCAACAATCCTGCTCTGCTCTTGTAAACTCAAGTTGTGGGTTCTTTTAGGGAGTTAGACCATCTCATATTAAGTTCATTAGCTTTGCTTTTTTCTTTCTTTTTCTTTTTACAGTTTACTCAGCAACAGGGTCACTGTTTTGTCCCACCTGTACTACTGCAAACTGATTGACGAAGTGCCTATGCATGTTTACCTCTCCAGAGAATGTTTTAATTCATAGGTATCAGCTGTATTGTTTAGTTTCTCTTAAAGCAGCCTGAGAATATGTTGCCTCTGTGTGTTATATGTTGCCCAACTTAATCTGAAGGCGCAAGCCAAATGGCTTTTAAAATACCCTTATCATTACTGCACCCAAACTCCACATCTAAAAATGAAATAAAACAGAAACAATGACGATGACAAGAATGCAAAATATAATTAGTGAACAGTCACCAGAACTCTGCTGCTGACTGATGCCTGTGGAAGAGGAAACGTGTAAGTCTTCAAGGAAATTTCCACTCAATAATGAGGTGATGGTTGCATTTCAAGACATGTGCCCAGTTATTTGGGGGGGGGGCAGTTTGCCACCAAGACTTATGCAAGGTCTCTTACACACATGTAAATCAGATGTAGGACTCTACATCTATTTAAGAATGCTAACTGTACATCATTGTCTAAATCTAACCAGCTGAAAGCTACACTTTCCTCACTATGCCTACTGCTGTTCAAAAGGTAATGTTAGGATTTATAGGCCAAGGCTGTTGAAGGAGATGACCTTACCTTCACCTGCGTATGCCAAGATGGAGCGGGCACGCATCTGTTTCCCTTCTGTGGTTTTGCCTGAGCAGGTGTGAGAGCAGGAGGACCAACCAGACCATGTGCTGAGTACACAGTCCTTTGGGCATGGAACTTCGCAGACGATGGGGACTGGGTAGATGGCATCTCGGCACAGCTGTCTGTCAACCTCTTCTCCTGGGAAAGAAAAGGCCAGTAGCAGTCTATCATTACTAATTTAACTTAGATTGAGCAGTCTCAGCACAGATGGGCACACAAATAAATTAGATTTGGAGATTTAAAAAAAAAAACAGTAAATGGATTAGGAATCATAATTGTGTCTTCTATGCCTGGACACACACATGTACAGGCACATGCCCTCTCTCTCTACTCAGATTTCCTCTTACATTTTAACGGGTGATGGGAGAGAGGTCCACAATTCGTACCTACAAAATCAACCAAAATTCAGCAGATGATGTCTCAGAACAAGAAAGAAAAAAAGAAAAGAAAAAAAAGAGAACCATTCTTCCTTATAAAAGAAGAAAGAAAAAAGAAAAGAAAAAAAGAACCATTCTTCCTTATAAAAGAGTGTTAAGTTTCTTCTCTGGAATGATTTTTATAAATAACATATTTTCTATATTTGTGTTTGTGTACACACACACACACACACACACAGTTTAACTGTCAATATTAAAAAGCATCTTCCAGTTCAGCAATAAGCAGGTTTATTCACAAATAAATCATATTGAACTCAGTGGGGGCCACTCCCACATAAATTATATTTCTCCTCTTACCAAGACTCCAATATTGTAAGCTAGGATGGCAAACCTTTGTCAAGATCCCCTTCAGCCAAACTTTGCGCATATGGATTGAAGCACAGACACTGACATTTTCACCACTCAGACAAAGAGGTATCCAGTATCTGCTCAAACAACAATCTTTTCTTGCTGAGTGGTGAGCAGAGAAATCTTGTATTTCAAGTATACTGGAGCTTTCCACTCCATTGGTGCTGAATCAGATTTTGGCCCAATTGGGTAGGGATACAAAACATACTTTCCCTTTTATATTAAATTGTGCTAAGTATTTCACAACTAAACTTCACTCTGTTTTCTTGGCAAAATCAGACTAGAACTAAACATGAAGCATACACACATCTGCTCGACATCCAGCATTCCTACATAGAGCTCTCAACTTCTTCCTATAACAGGTAATGCTGTTGGCAAGATCCAAGGTTATTGTTCTGTACCAAGGGTTCACAAATGAAGGAGAACCATTAACACTTGGGAAGCTTTAGGCCGATAGCCCACATCAGCTCCCCTCAACTCATCCAGTGCTAAAGAGTTGTAAGAGTTTTGGTTCAAAACATCTGGAACACCAAGGATTCCCTATCCAGTAAAAAAAATATTTCACAACATTTGTTCCATGCCAGTACAATAAAATTAACCTTTAAAATCCTAAATGGTTTCAAGCCAGGTTACTAGAGGTTTCACTTCTTCTTCCCTCCACAAATCTTCTGATGTTCTTCTCCAAAGTACCCTCAGCAAAGGGAGCCCAACAGCTGGCTCCTAGGGAAGGGGGCCCTTTCCATTGTTCACACCCTGGTTATGAAACACTCTCCCCAGAAAAATCACCTGGTGCTTATAATGTGCCATTTTGGGCACCAAGTGAAGATTTCTTTATTTCCCCAACTTTTTTCTTATCTCAAGTTCTTTTTAGCATATGGTATTTCAAAAAAAAAATTTTTTGCACCTATTTTTATTCTCCAGTCTACAAATGGCATATCAATAAGTACCAAGACTTTATATACTCCCTTGTGCAATTCAACATTGGTGTTAGATTTATTTCATTTTTATCTTATATCTTTGATATTTTAATTTTTAAGTAATATTTCCCTTGTGCAATTCAACATTGGTGTTAGCTTTATTTCATTTCTATCTTATATCTTTGATATTTTAATTTTTAAAATAATATTTTTTTATTTTTATATAACACACAAACAGACAACCATCAAAAGGATAGAACTACAGGGAGGGGGAAAAGGGGTAGCAGAAAACAAAACATAGACACAGGGAAGTATTTGCATTCATACAATATCTAATATACTCTTGACTCCATCGCTGTGATACAATACTAAAATCCATGATCTATATTATATTCTCTACTAATATCTGTTTCTGGGTTGAATCATAAACCATTTTCCAGCTTTCTTTAACATATGTTCTCGGGTTTTCATGTAATGACTCTGACAATCTATCCATTTCTGCAATAGCTAATAATTTTTAAGTAGCTCCTCTTTCTTTGGATTTTCCCAATTTTTCCACTTTTGGGCCCAGATCAGCCTTGCAGCTGTAAATATGTGCAGCAACATATATTTAAAATTTTTATCAACAATTTCTGGCATTATATTCAGCAAAAACATTTCTGGTTTAAAAGCTATTTCTTGTTGTATAATTTCTTGTGTAATATCTTCTATCTGTCTCCAAAAGCTTTTTGCTTTATCGCATGTCCACCACATATGAATAAAAGTTCCAGGTTGCTGAGAACACTCCCAACATGAGTTGCTTGCCCCCGGCGCCATTTTTACCAGTTTTGTATTTTGATTTTTAATTGTAAGCAGCCCAGAAAGCTAATGTCATTGGGTGCTATATAAACATTGTAACTAAATTGAACTAACTAAATAAAATAATATGTCAATCTGGCCAAATTTAAAAAGCTTATGACTCTTGCTGAAACAGACAAAAAGCCTGTCTAGTCTAGGATTCCATTCCCATAGCAGGCGAAAAGATCCACGAGAACCTGAGATACCTCACACTTATGTCCCATAATAATTAGCACTGAGAGATACACTGCCTCTGATATGGAAAGTAATATATGTATAGCTATCATGACTAATTGTCACTGAGAAGCTCATCTGCCATAAATATCTTTAATCTATCTTTAAAGTGATCTGCATTTGTGGTCATCATGTTGCACCTTGTGGCAATGAGTCCCACTGTTTAATATTTCCTTTGATCTATCCTGAATCTCCAGTCACTGAACATCAAAGGAAACTCCCAGGAACATGTCTCCAAACAAGGTGTCTTGGTACTGGGTGTAAGACTTCATGAAGTACAAGGGGACCTTTCTCTTTATAATGCCAAAGTCTAGCAAATCATCCCAGATGGAATCTCATATAACATTATTTCTTTTTTTTCCTGTTGCAGATAAAGAAAACATATTCATATTAACTTAGACTGTCTACAGATTTATTATTTTTGTGTTCTATATGACTTACTAATAAAACCATACACGTATCTTTTAGTTTCTGCTTGTTAGGGGGAAATCACAAGGAACTTTTTTTTCTTAGTTTAATTACAGTAGGATTGTGGTCTCCATGGAGATTGGTTCCAAATCTTCCCTTCATGGATGCTGATAAAGACAGAAATAGCAAACACCATACAAAGCATGGTATCTGGCTCTGTCTAGTGGCCAGTTCTGGTAAACACACTATGGAAATATGTTGAAACATGTATTGCTGAGTTTTTTAAATTTCATATTTTCAGGCAGCAGATAAGTGAGTCCAGGGATATTGATCCTGTGATTACATTGAATATGCAAGTAAATGAAAATACTTAAAACCTACATTTTTTAAAAAAATGCAAACAAATACACTTTAGTCAATGGGAATACGAATGAAGAAAAATATGAAAAACCATGTATGTTAAAAAAATTGTTTCACAAAATACAGAAACAGTTCTATAAGGGAAAAATATTGTAATCTAATACAAAACCTGGATATGATCAGGTTTCTGGCTGGGTTTGCAGAAATGCAGGGAAAATGAAGCTGGCAATTTTTTTCATATCCTTGTGTCAATACGGTTGATAAAGAAGTAATTAAATCAGAATTCAGGGTAGCTGAGTATATCTGATTGAATATTGTGGCACCAGCCACTGACCAAGTACACTTACATAAAACCCTGCAGGGTCAAAGATATACAAATCCTTTTCTGCCAATGCACACTGAAGGCATGGGGTCCTAGAGTATAGTTTCTTCAAAGAGCTGACTTTCTGTGCTTTAATTGTGACCGCATTGCACACTGAAGGCATGGGGTCCTAGAGTACAGTTTCTTCAAAGAAATCAAAGAGCTGACTTTCTGTGCTTTAATTATGACCGCATAATAAAACTTTACTTACTTACTTACTTACTTACTTACTTACTTACTTACTTACTTACTTACTTACTTACTTACTTACTTACTGTACATTTTAAAACATGTCAAGAAAGAAAAAGGCAAGCTTCCAAGTTCAGTTTCAAGTATCCATACTCTGATACTTACTTACTTACTTACTTACTTGTCTGGAGCATTTTAAAACATGTCAAGAAAGAAAGAAAAAGGCAAGCTTTCAAGTTCAGTTTCAAGTATCCATACTCTGGACACATAAAATCAATTAGACAGCTGACATTCCTATTATATTCAATATTTCAACAAAATATCAGTTTATGGGGGTGAAAAGTCTTACTTTAAGAACTGCATATTCTTCAAGAGGACTCTAGAGTTCAGATAATCAATAACTGCAACACCAAGCATTATGTCAGAATTATGATATCATCCTATCAAAGTCAATTGTTCTACTATAATGGTTCATATCATTTAAAAGCAAGATTTTCCATATAAAATATAAGGTCACAACAGCGAAAAAATATCTTCCTTTTGAATGAAATATAATACGTAGATGTCAGATTTAAGGCAGGATTCAGTATTGGTGGCTCTTTCCTGAGAAACAAAGTTGGACTTTGGAAAGCTTTTTAAAAAATTATTTCCTGAATCTTCTTCATGGGCTAAGCTGGATTTGGGTTGTAGCTTGAAGAAAATAACATTTCCAAACACTGGAAGAGTGTGAGAGTGTTTTGAATACACATGCTGGAAAAGGGGAAATATTTTATTCTTTCCTCATACTGGAATTGACAGCTGGCATTTATCCTATAAGATGGAGACATGGTTTAGGATTGATGTGTGGAAAATGCACAACAATTTAGTTGCAGACTTTTAAAAAATTATGGCCATGCTCACAAAATCCACCCTTCCCGGTCCTTCCTCACAGGATTGACATACAGAAAAAGCAACAGGATGGGACTCAAGCCTCTTTAAAAATTGGAATTTCCCGAAGGCAATAAAATATATCCCACTATCTGAATACTGAAGTGATGTATTCAAAAT